TTACAGGAAGCCTTGATCCATATGTAGAGGTAAAAGTTGGGAATTACAAAGGGGTTACCAAGTATTTGAGAAAAGAAAGATCCTGAATGGAACGAGGTGTTTGCCTTCTCTAGGGAGCGTCTTCAGGCATCTGTTTTGGAAGTTCAGGTGAAAGATAAGGATTTGATGAAGGATGATTTTGTTGGAGTCATCCGATTTGATCTTCATGAAGTCCCGACTAGAGTTCCACCTGATAGTCCGTTGGCTCCTCAATGGTATCGTCTTGAAGACAAGAAAGGAGATAGGAGTAATAATAATGGGAACTGATGCTCGCGGTCTGGTATGGTACTCAAGCAGATGAGGCATTTACTGATGCTTGGCATTCTGATGCCATTACTCCTCCTGATATGTCAGCTTCAGCTGCTAACCATATCCGTTCAAAAGTCTACCATTCACCCAGGTTGTGGTACCTTCGAGTCAATGTAATCGAGGCTCAAGACTTGATTACCTCAGACAAAGGCCGGTTTCCTGATTGTTATATAAAGGCGCAGCTTGGAGCCAAACATTAAGCACAAAGCCTGTTCAAAGCAGGATGGGAAACCCCTTTTGGAATGAGGATCTGATGTTTGTTGCTGCTGAGCCTTTCGATGAGCATTTGATCATCACTGTTGAAGATAGAAAAGGTCAGGGCAAAGAAGAGACGCTTGGCAAGGTCAGTATTCCATTAGCAGCTGTTCGCAAGCGCCCTGATGATAAGAATTTTCCCACTCAATGGATCAACCTTCAGAAAGAGCTCTTCTGACACTGAAGAGGAGAAGAAAGTTAAGTTTGCTAGTAAGTTACATGCTCGTATAAGCCTTGATGGCGGTTACCATGTCCTTAATGAATCTACTTACTATAGTAGTGATCTCAGACCAAGTATGAAGCAACTGTGGAAATCTTCAATTGGTGTTCTTGAACTTGGAATACTGAATGCTGATGGACTCCACCCTATGAAAACAAGAGATGGAAGGGGAACTGCGGATACCTTTTGTGTGGCTAAGTACTGTCAGAAATGGGTTCGTACACGAACAATAATCGACAGTCTTAGCCCCAAGTACAATGAGCAGTACACATGGGAAGTATATGATCCTGCAACTGTTCTTACCATTGGTGTTTTTGACAACGGACATATTGCTGGCAACAAAGACACTAAAATCGGAAAAGTGAGGATTCGAATCTCCACCCTTGAAGCAGGCCGTGTATATACTCACTCATATCCCCTGCTAGTCCTCCAACCTTCGGGTTTGAAGAAGATGGGAGAGTTGCATTTGGCTATTCGATTCTCTTGCACAAACATGACCAACATGATGTTTTTGTATGGAAAGCCGCTTCTCCCTAAGATGCATTACTCTAGACCATTGTCTTTGATGCAGACTAATACTTTGAGGGTTCATGCTACAAATGTCTTAGCTTCTAGGCTTAGCAGAGCCGAACCCCCTTTGAAGAAGGAAGTGGTGGAGTATATGTGTGATGTTGATGCACATTTTTGGAGCATGAGGCGAAGCAAGGCTAACTTCTATCGCATAATCTCCCTACTTCAAAGTTTGATTGCAATCGGGAAATGGTTCACAGATGTGTGTGCTTGGAAAAACCCGGTTACAACTGTCCTCGTTCATTTGCTCTTTGTGATGTTGGTTTGTTTCCCTGACCTCATTCTTCCTACAGTGTTCTTGTACATGTTTTTGATCGGGCTATGGAATTATCGGTATAGGCCAAAAAACCCTCCTCACATGGACACAAGGATCTCCTATGCTGACAACACAATCCCTGATGAACTTGATGAAGAGTTTGACACCTTTCCTACAACAAAAGGCACAGACGTGGTGCGAAGAAGGTATGATCGACTCAGGAGCATAGGTGCCAAAGTGCAATCTGTGTTGGGTGATTTTGCTGCTCAGGGAGAAAGGGCTCAAGCATTGCTAAGTTGGCGAGATCCACGAGCCTCAGTTTTATTTCTGACATTCTGCCTGTTTGCTGCATTTGTTCTGTATGCTATTCCTTTCAATGTTATGGCTCTTCTTGCTGGTTTTTATACCATGAGGCATCCGAGGTTTCGCAGTAAGTATCCTTCTTCACCAACAAATTTCTTTAGGAGATTACCAGCAAAGACAGATTGCTTGCTGTAAATAGTGTTATCTTTATCTATAGGCCCTCTGAATTATTCAGTTTTCTGTATGTTGAGAAGGCCCTCCTTTTTTGCTGCTTATTTATTCCAATTTCCTTGTGGATTTTGGGTAATGTAAACATTCTGTCCCTCAAAAACCGAGTAATACATAATGTATTCATTCATGTGTACTATATTTTGTAAATTTGTGTTTTATCCTTGCCTATTTTCATTTATTACAAATATACAATTTGATAAACAGAATGCAGCCCTTTGTTTTATCATAAACAATATGCAGGTGTTTGAGTAGATTCTACGCACATAAACCTGTGCAATTTCAAAATTGTAGCCCAATGGTCTAAAAGGGCAATAACAGAGCCCTAAAGGTACGAAGTTAGTTGTCATTTTGATAGTGTAATTTGAACTAGATGCATACGTAGTGTATCAACTTAATCTGGACGTGACTCATTTGCATCTTCAGGGAGATTTTATTCTTGTGGAACTGAGTACATGATAATTTGTTTGCTGTGATGAAATTGAGCTTTATTTTACCAAGATTTTACTACATTAGCTCATAATACTTGCTATTATAAAAGATCTTATAACATATTCTTCATCTTAAGCATCAGCCCAAGTAATATTGAGTTGGCCCCACTGACTCTGTGGGACCCCCAGAGCCTTCCAAACAGCCTTAGAAGCAGCAACAATGTTATACCCACAAGGTGGGTGATAACCCTCCCCTGCATCACACCCCTTTGTAGAATCACACTCATCAACCACCTTAGCCTTCACAGTCTTCCCATTCCCACTTATTGCGATCATCTTCCCACACCGTGCCCCACTATTATACCACCCTGTCGAGAGTGCAACCACCAGTGAGTTGTCGGTATGGTAGGCGTTGTCACACTTGGACTGGCTGTTCTGAAAGGCTCTAAGTGTGAGCATTCCCGGTGTTTGGGAGGTTACTGAAGGGGAGCATTGAAAGGTGAAGTAAACTGTGTTTTGGATACAACAGTTGGTGCTGCATTTTCCTGGTGGAGGGCTTGTGGCTCTAAAATAGCCCGTTGTTCGGCAGTTTTGACCTTCAACTTGTACACTATATATAATCAGTAACACAACAAATGAAAACCATATGCTAATATTGTTATTTAACATTGTTGTCATTTTTATTTTATTTTTTTGTGTGTAGAGTTTGTGTTTTTGATGCTTTGAAGAATGATATTAGAGGGATATATATATATAATTTAAGGGTGGTTTTGTTGACATAATAATATATTAATCTTTGTGTTTATCTTGTTACTATTTTAGTGCAAAGTTTAGTCAACTTTGGAGAGCTGGTCATATCATTCATTATTCAACATGACATTTCTTGATAAAGTTTGTCGGTTGACCATGAAGTAGTAGTTAATGGATAAAAATGGGGGTTGGATTGAGAAAAAATATTAGCAAGAGAATTAAGAGTTAAACGCGTGGTTAGCCTTTCAACGAATGTTATCTATTTGAGTTTAGCTTGGTTTAAAATTGATAAAACTGACTCAATTCGAACATAAAATTTGGTAGAAATGAATCGATCTTCCTAGGCTGAGCTACATGTTTGACTTTGTGAGTTCATTCCTGTATGGCTCTATCTATGAAAGCTTTTCCCATGTTTGATGGATTAATTAATTATGGTAGCTTGTAGGTTCTTCATTAATACGGAGTAGGCCATTGGATTTAAGGTTGGACTTGGACGCCCTATCATGTCCACATGAAGCCTTTCTAGGCTAAGTATTCACCCAAATACAAATCTAGGCTATTACTTTGCAACCCATCAAGCCACTTAAAAAACACACTCTAGCAGTCTAGCCCAACATTGTCCAAACATAAATTACCATCCTTTTTTTTAAAAAAAAATCCTTTATCAAAAAAATTAAAAGCTACCAATTCATTAAAAAAAAAAAAATTACCATTTTTTTTGGAAGGGAGTCTCAGTCTTCACGACTTCATAATTTTTAAACCGATTAATATTTTTATTAGAGTAAGATAGATAATATTTCAGGAAAAAATAAAATGAGCCATATAGATTTCTTATACAAGTACTATACACGCGATGTACGTGTGTCTCCTACCTTATAAAGTAAAGTATAAACGGGAAAAACACAACATTATTCAAAAGAAATTTATGTCATACATTTAGGAGAAAGTCCTAATATATCATCGTTAGACACAAACAAAATTGCATAACAGTCTTTTGTACTACTGAAAGTCCTATTAGTACTACTGAGATGTTTTTTTCAGTACTACTTAGAGTGTGTCTTTTGTACTACTGAAATCATATATAGGACAACTGAGAATGTTCAGTAGTATAATATTGCCTCTCATTAGTACTCTTAAAAAGTCATTATTTATAAAATTGTCATTATTATATATTTGCTTGTGCCCAACTCTAGGTCCTAGAACTCAGAAGCGCTCTACATTTAGCAACTCTTCACATTCTATATCGATCAATTACAAGTTACAACAACAAAATTAATGGTCTTTACTCTTTAGTGTAGTGACGTAGAACAAAATGGCGGGAAACGATTACACTACCTTGTTCTGCGACTGTACAGCTACTGTAGCTGCACTAGTTATTACTCCTACTCGTAATCTGTATCGTCTCATCTCAATTGCCCGACTCTACACTCAAAATTCCCCACAAATTTCCAGAAAAATCCCACTCAAAACACAATAATAAAAAAAAAAAATACCCAGAATCTTATAAACATTGAAATGTTACAACTGGGTTTATTTGTGTTTCTTTGTTCAATCCATTCTTAATATCTAGTCTTTTTATTTTATTTTAAATTTTTAAATTTTTGCATGCATGTTTTCTTTGATTATATAGAGTTTGAAAAGAAAATGAAGAAGATAAAATATGTAGATGATGCTGGTTTTACCTTTATTGATCATCTAATCTCATGGTCAGTTAATGATATACTTGATGATAACTTTTTCAATGACAAGGTTAGTTCCTCATTTCCTCTTATTTAAAATATATTATATGGTTGGTACTTTATGTTTGTAAATTGTGTAATTGAATTGTATGATGAATTGCATGCATGCTTTAGTTGTAGTCCTAGATAGATTATAGATAGGGCAAAAGATTTGATTTTGTTGTTGATTCACTAATTTGTAGTTAATTCCAACAAGTAAATACTGTAAGAAGATTTTATTGCTGTTGTTGACTCTGCATTTTGTGAACTACAGGTCAGGAAGATCCCTTGTCTGTTTCGATCGACAACCGAGTATTTCGATGCATTTGTGTATCCTTTGTTAGAGGAGGCACGAGCCGAATTGTGCTCAAATTTGTCTATGTTATCTAGAGCGCCTTTTGGTAGAGTAGTTTCGTGTTGTAAAGCTACCAAAGATACTAAATTACACTTTTTGTACAATGTTAAGGTTCATCATTGGAGGGTTAATTCTGCTGGTGGAGATAGCAAAACTTATAATGTTTTGCCAGGAGATGTGTTTGTATTGATGGATTCTGAATTTGATGCTGAGGAACCTGTTCTACAGTCGGGGCGAAAATGTGTTCTAGCATCTGTAGTTAATATGTCTCAGGATGATGCAGATGAGGACACTTCTGCTACTTGTATCAGAGTGATTGTGTCTAAAGAGATTGACATGAATGATTTTGTAAATAAATATTTACTTATTGTATTTTTGACTAATGTGATTCCATTTGAACGCATATGGAATGCTTTGCACATGAAGGAGAACTTGAAGTTACTCGAGAAGGTCTTGCACTGTGATTCCTTGGTATGCTTCCAGTCTTATTGTTGAAGTTTTCGTATTTTCGTTCTTGTAATGCTGATGAACTTCTATTCCGCATTTGCCAACATGTTCATGATAGTTATATTATTTGTCATTTGTATCACTAGGATCATCCTAGAAAGAAAGGTTTATGCACATTAGTCGACTTGGAGAATGATTGGACTGTAATTATTCTATGATGATCATAACATTTTGAAGCTGAGAGGCAACTAGAACAAATCTATGTTGCTGATTTAGGACTAGGATGCTTATATATGACTATTTTCATTTTATAATGCATAAATAATTGATAGCAACAACCCATTTAAGGCTTAGTTATAATATATTATTCAATTTTGCAGGACAAAGGAACTGATGGCAATGGCTGTTCAGAAACTGATCATTTCTGGCTCAACAAACTTGGTTCGGGTTTACCACGTCTAAACCCATCTCAGAAGGATGCAATTTCGGCTTCTTTGAAAAATATACAGTGTAAGGACAAGTTTTCTGTTGAACTTGTATGGGGTCCTCCTGGGACTGGTAAATCTAAGATGATCAGCACATTGCTATGCATTCTGCTAAGGCTTAACTGTAGAGGCCTGGCTTGTGCCACAACAAATGTGGCAATTACTGCATTAGCTAGTCAGGTTGTAGAGCTGTTGAGAGCGTGTTCTGCAAGGAATTCAGACAATAGGTTTTGCTCATTGGGCAGCTTACTTTTGTTTGGGAGCAAGAAGCAGGTAGATGTAGGTTCAGATATTGAAGATATTTATTTGGACTACCGTGTTAAGAAGCTAGCAGAGGTTTTTAGCCCCATTAGTGGCTGGCGCTGTTCTTTCTCGTTGTTGTTGAATGAATTCCAGGATTTTTCTTCACAGGATCATTTTCTCACTGGACAACATGGTCAGAATAGGTGCCTTGGCAATTCAGAGCAACTTCTATCCTTTCTTAATTCTATTAGAGATCAGTTCAATGAACTAATTGGTCCTGTCAAGAGATGCATCTCAATCTTTTGTACCCATATGGCAAAAAGTTTCATTCAGGAACACAATATTGAGAACTTGACTAAGCTTTATGATTTGCTTGATTCTTTTGAAAGTTTGCTGTTGCAATATATTGGTCAACTCAGTGGGTTGGCTCCTTGTAGTGGAGTCTTTCAGAAGTCTATTGTGTATATACTAGGTCTTCTCGAAAAGAAGGGAGATGAATGCTTTGATCTTTTACAAAATCTAATTGTTTCTTTGGGCAAACTTAAGTTTCCCCAAGTGACAAATTATGATTTCATCTCGGATTTCTGTTTCCAAATGTCATCCTTGTTATTCTGTACGGCTTCAAGTTCCTATAAATTGTATTATGCGCCTATAAAATCACTCGATGTTGTGGTTATTGATGAAGCTGCGCAGTTGAAGGAGTGTGAGTCCATTATACCACTCCAACTTCCCGATCTAAGGCATGCTATTCTTGCAGGAGATGAGTACCAGCTACAGGCCATGGTGAAAAGTCATGTAAGAATATCGGTCTAAAATTGATTTCTATTTTACTCTTAAAATTTTACTTAATCTTATGATTGTTTATATGATCCAGAAACCTTTCCTTTTTTTGATGCAGATTTCAGCGAGTGTTGATTTTGGCCGAAGTTTATTTCAGAGATTAGGTTTGTTAGGCTGGTCAAAACACCTACTAAACATGCAGTACAGAATGCACCCTTCAATAAGTGCATTTCCAAGGAGGATGTTTTACAGCAACAAAATTACTGATGCACCTAGTGTGAAGAGTGACGGCTATGAGAAACGTTACCTTGAAGGATTATTCTTTGGTCCTTATTCATTTATAAATATTACAGAGGGAAAAGAAGAATTTGATGATAATGGACAAAGCAGAAAAAATATGGTTGAGGCAGCAGTTGTCCGGGCTATAGTACTTCGTCTTTACAAAGGTATGCCACGCGGATAGTTCCCTTTTCAGGTTGCTTACAGAATTTTTATCTTGAAAGATCAACCTACTTATTTTCTCAGTTTCGTAACACATTACAAAAATTAGCTTCTGGATGTGCTGCAAAATGCAGATTTGATCCGTGACTAGAATTTTTTAAATTCTGTTGTAATTGTCTTTATATTCCTTATCAATTGGAAAAATACCTTCCAGTTCCAGCATCGGAGCAGGAACGAACTGTGAAATATTGCCGTTTTCTTCATGAAAAATAATGCTTGTTTTAGTAGTGCGAGTATTTTTTTTTTTTTTTTTTGGTTACGGTGTAGTATTGATGTTCAGCAAGTAACTAATTTATTATTTTGGCGCACCATTTCTCCTTGATGGAATGTGTGCTACCCCAGGCTTTAGTGACCTGGAAAATGGATCTATATTTTAGCTTTGGACATTTTTTCACTAGGTTCAACATTCTTTATCGAGAGCTGCATTGTTTGAATTGGTATTTTTACTTTTGGGATGCATTGTACACTTGCATTCTATACAAAAATCTGTGTTTTAGGGCCTCTATTTATCTAATACACTAATTGGCCTTTACAAAATTCTTTATTGCTGCATTCTTAGTCTTGGTTCATTTTCTTGTTTGCAGGATGGTGCAAATCACCCTGCAATAAAAAAGTTAGCATTGGTGTAATATCGCCTTATTCTGCACAGGTTAAGGCAATTGAAAGAATGATTGGTCAGAGATTTTCGAATCTGGAAAATTTTACAGTGAACATCAAATCAATTGATGCGTTCCAAGGTGCAGAGGAAGACATAATACTGCTATCTTTGGTCAGATCTAACAACTTTGGCGAAATTGGTTTCTTATCTAATCCTCAACGACTTAATGTTGCATTAACAAGGGCAAGGTATGTCTTGGAAGTACTTCCAAATAATTTTTAGGCTTCACTGCTGTTTTTCCTACACTAGTTATTTTCCAATTTACATTCTTGATTCCAGACATTGCCTATGGGTGCTTGGAAATGGGAAGACTTTAGCCAAAGCCAACCTTATTTGGAGGGATTTTATCACCGATGCTAAAGAGCGGAAATGTTTTTTCAATGCTAATGAAGATGAAAAAATATCAGAAACAATCATTTATGTTAAGAAGGAACTAGATCAGCTGGATGATTTGCTCAGCGGAAATAGTGTGCTTTTTCGTAATGCAAGGTGGAAGGTGGGTAACTCCTCTTATCAAATTAATGATGTTCAATTTAGTTGAACCTTAAACACTTCAGTTTGGGCTTACCTATTCTTGTTGCTGAACATTGCTCATGTTATTTTTCCTAGGTTCTCTTTGCTAGTAATTTCATCAAATCATTTTCAAAGCTGCAATCAAGCCAAACAAAGATGCATGTGTTTAATCTTATAGGCAAACTTTCAAATGGATGGCGACCAAGGAAAATCAAAGTCGATCCTCCTTGTGAGAGCTCTGTTCGAATTGTCAAGCAATTCAAAGTTCAAGGCCTCTATGTCATATGCTCAAATGACATTGTTAAAGAATCAGAATATTTCCAAGTTATGAGGGTTTGGGATATTTTGCCATTGGAAGCAGTGGCCGAATTGGTTAAGAGAATTGACAAACACTATGGTTTATTCACTGAAGAGTTTGTCAGATGCTGCAAGAAAAAATGTATTGAAGGGTATGCTTTCTTTTGTTACATTTTCATCAACATGCATCTATAAGATTGCGAAATTAGGAAAACTATCTTGTTGAAATGATTAATCCTTTTTGGCAATATCTCATTTATCTAATTGATTTGTTATGCTCAGTACGCTGGAAGTTCCCGTATGCTGGAGCAGCAACTCTAATATTGTTCGGTACAAGAGTTGCAGTGATGCTGAGAGAACAAGTATATCAGATGACGATGATGTAGCACCAAGATGTATTGACAAGGCAGAAGTCGAGGAGAGCTTGTTGCTAGTAAAATTTTACTCTTTATCTGTCGGTGTAGTGAAACACTTGATTTCTGTTTCTGATGGTAGGGCATTAGAGCTTCCCATGGAAGTGACAGACAACGAGTGGGAAATAATTCATTACCCAAGAAGCTCTTTTGTGTTAGGAAGGTCTGGCACTGGAAAGACCTTGGTGTTAGTCACGAAACTATTTCAGAAAGAACAACTATATCACATGGCTTTGGGTGGTTCTGATGAGGTACATGGCGATGCTTCCTTGTGTGATGACCCATCAATTAAGCTTGAGGGTAGAAGCGCTATTCTGCGACAACTGTTTGTAACAGTTAATCCGAACTTGTGCCATACAGTAAAACAACACATCTCCAATCTTCAAAGGTAACTGTGAGATACTTTACATTTCTCAATTGTGACATTGTCAACTCCACATTGTCTCTGGGAATTTAAACAGAAAAATGTCGTATATATTAGGGAAGAAGAGTGTATTCAGTATTCAATAGATTTGTGTTCTCGGGTCAATTGTCAATCTCATATGTGTAATTGTTTCACCTCTTAGGGTGTTTTCTGTTAGGAGGAATTCGTTTGGTTTGTATAAGGGTGCAAAGACATTTTCTTCTTCCCGCATTATCCTTATTTTTCTTGCCGATTACTTTCTCTCCTCCCTTTCATCCCCTTCCCACCATCCCCATTCTTTTCCTTCTCTCTAAATTTTATTAAGGTACTAAAGAAGGATACTTAATCTTTTGTAGCATTTTCCCTTTCAAATTTGTCCATGGAAAACAATATCTAGTTGGCAGTGTTTTCTGTCCAACCAAATGGAATTTTAGTGATAATGTTGAGGAGCATGCTCTTGGAGCATGTTTGATTATATGCTAAGCTATTTTGTTATATTGATAATCTCATATCTGTTGTCGTACTGAATTTGGCCTCACTGATGCTTCAGCACTGTTCGTGGAGAAATCTTGAATAAGGAAACCTGCATCCAAGTTTATGATGAGACGCAACTATTTGAAGATATTCCTCACTCTTTCTGGGAGATCCCTGCTGAGTCATATCCTCTTGTGATATCTCTCAAGAAGTTCCTGCTCATGCTGGATGGTACAATAGGTACCTCATATTTCCATAGATTTGTGAAAACTAGACAAACTTGTAGCTTAAAATCAGTTGAGCTGCAAATGATGGAAAGGAAAGAAGTAAGCTTTGATAAGTTTAGTGTCTCATACTGGCCTCACTTCAATTCGACTCTTACAAAGGATCTTGATCCTTCAAGAGTTTTCACTGAAATACTCTCTTGTATAAAAGGTGGAATAAAAGTTGAACAGGGTAGACTCACTTTAGACAGTTATATTCAATTGTCTGACTGCAAAAAGTCAAGCTTAAGTAGGAACGAGAGGGAGGCCATATATGGTATATTCTTGTGCTATGAGAAGATGAAGCTTACAAGAGGTGAGTATGATTTGTCTGATGTAGTGAATGATCTTCATCATCGGTTCAGCCATCAAAGGTATGAAGGTGATGCCTTGGATTTTGTGTATATAGATGAAGTTCAAGATTGGACTGTGCGGCAACTTTCTCTTTTAAAATATGTTTGCAAGAATGTCAAAGAAGGTTATGTGTTTGCTGGTGATACAGCTCAAACAATTGCCCAAGTGTAGATTTTAGTTTTGATGAGATCAGAAGCTTTTTCTATGTCAATTTTCTCCAAGGCCCGTGTGTGAAAACTAGTAAACAGGATCAAGGAAACATCTGCCCAATTTTTGTGCTGAATCAAAACTTTCGATCCCATGCTGGGATTTTAAAGTTAGCTCACAGTGTCATCAAACTTATCTACCATTTCTTTCCATACTCAATTGATAAGGTTAATCCAGAGTTCAGTCTTATTGATGGAGATGCTCCCATACTGCTGGAGTCTGCATCTGGTGATGAAGATGTTGTCATGAAAATCTTTCAGGACAATAAAAATGATGGCAGGAATACTGTCATTTTTGGAGCTGAACAAGTTATTATTGTACGAGATGAAAGTGTGAGAAATGAAATGCCAAGCCATGTAAAAGGACATGCACTTGTGCTCACGGTATTTGAGTGCAAAGGCTTGGAGTTTAAGGTAAATAACTGTTTGGCTTTTCTATTTCTTGACATTGACTTCTTCATTATTGTTATAAGGTTCTCGCTTGACATTTCTAACTCTATATTGTTTTTGTTTGATGCCTTATTTTTATTTTTATGTTGCAAAAGTTGCTTAATATACCAGCTATGCACTTTGATATTCTGTGATCCTGAAATAGCTTATCCCTGTGACATGTTTATCATCACAGGACGTTCTCTTGTACAACTTCTTTTCATCATCACCTATTAGAGAACATTGGAGTGTAATATATAAATATATGCAAGAGAAGAACCTTGGCTCATCATTTCCACATTTTCCAAAGTTCAATCATGCAAAACATAGTGGTTTGTGCCATGAATTGAAGCAACTATATGTGGCCGTCACCCGAGCAAAGGAAAGATTATGGATCTGTGAGAGCCATGGTAGTCATGCAGAACCTATGGCTAATTACTGGAAAAAATTGAATCTGGTCCGAATTAGACAGTTTGACAATTCATTAGCTCAGGAAATAATATTTCCCAGCTCTAAGGAGGAATGGAAATCGCAAGGTTTCAAGGTTTGTTTTTTGGCTTTATTTGGAAGACATTCATTATTAGTTTTCTCCTCCAATTTCATGTTAACCATCTTAGTTTAATAGATTTTAGAGAACCCATGTGATGCTCATATTAAAATTTAGTAAGTTTGTAAGTCTAATGCATCAGCATTGAGGATTTTGGGATCATAGCTCAATCATTTATCAGATGTACCTATAATTGCTGGCATCATGCTAGGTGTCACCATCAGTGTGTGGTGTTATCTGAGTCAGGAACTCAGGATTTCATACTTGAACTATTGTAACTATTTATTTTGTCTTCAATATTCCTTGCATCCTGATTCACCTTTATATGCAGTTTCTCGAAGTAAGTAACTATGAGACAGCGGCAGTCTGCTTTGGGCGAGCTGGAGATACTTACTGGGAAAAATACGCCCGTGCTACTGGCCTTAAAACAACCGCTGCTCATATGCGTGGCTTGAGTTCTGAAGCAGTCAAAATGCTTACAGAAGCTGCTGAAATCTTTCAAAGCCTAGATAACAACAAAGAGGCCGCTAAGTGCTTCTATGATGCAGGCAATTATGAAAGAGCAGGTAGTAGTGAAAACAGTTACTAATTTCAATGTATTCTGCTATTTTTAGAAACCATTATTTGGAACTATTACTGATATACCTTGAATTCTTTCGCTAGAACATAGCAGACTTTTGACACAGTCCTTTGCAAATGAACATTGAAAAAATAGAAACAAAAGTATAATGGGCAGTATGAATCCTAGTTAGTGAACCTTGTCCTAAGCCTGAAAATGAACTTTTACTATATGATTGAAATTGTAGCCTAAAACCCAATGGAGTTCACATTTAAGTTTACTTCCTTGAATTCTGACCCAGATGAACTGATTATTTCCAGAAATGACGCTATTGAACTTTTTTTTTTTACAGGTGATATATATCTGCAGCACTTTCAAAGTTCTGAGCTTGAAAAGGCTTGTCATTGCTATACCTTGGCCGGTTTTCATGCACGTGCTGCGGAGATCTATGCTGAAAATTACCTCTACAGAGAATGTTTGCATGCATGTAATACAGGAAAATTGTTTAACTTAGGATTGCAGTACGTACAAAGCTGGAAACAGCTGGCTCTTGAGGAGGGAAGCATAGACTTGATAACATTTGAGCAAGAATTCCTGAAGAGTTGTGCTCATGCTTCCTATAAGAAAAAAGACAAGAAAAAAATGATGAAGTATGTTAAGAAATTTAGCTCTCTTGATTCAATGAGGACCTTCTTATGGAATCAAGGGTGTTATGAGGAGGGAATTGACATAGAGATAGAAATGGGCGATATTCAAGAGGGTCTAAGAATCGCAAGAAAAGTAGGATTATTTTTACGTGAGGCAGATTTATTAGAAAAGGCTCAGAATTATGAGGATGCTTCTAGGCTCTATATTTGGTACGTGTTTGGTAAATGTTGTTGGGCATCTGGTGGAAAAAATTGGCTCGAAAGAGATCTTTTGTTGAAAGAGGAATTGTTGTCCAGAGCTGAAGCTTCTGCTCTCAATGCTTCAGCTGATTTTCACAAACAAATTCATACAGAAGTTCTGCTTTTGTCAACTCAAAGTACTGGGTTGTCTGAACTGGAGAAGCAGTTAGAAGTCTCCCAAAAAAGCGGGAATTTGAAATGGGAGGTCATATGTACTAGAAAAATTCTTGAAATCCTTCTTCAGACTCAGACTTCACCATTTAAATGGGAATCTGACTCGCGAGAAATGATCTCAGGTGGCCAGGTCTCAGTTGAAAAACTGATATACTTTTGGTCATCCTGGAAAGAGAAGATTTTGACAACCTTGGAACACCTAAAGAGTTTACCAGCACATGATAATCACTGGGACTTCTGTCTACATTATTTTGGCGTGCGAAAGCATCCAAACACTGGTTACTTTATGCTCTATCCTGATGCTGAATGGGTGTCGAAATATCCGAAAAAGAATAATCAAAGACTTGGCACAGAACATTTGGTGACTTCTATTCGACATTACTGGTGTTCAGAGTTACTCTCAGTTGGCTGTAATATGCTGGAGTATCTGAATATCTTTCAGAAGTTTTCTGCTGATTCGATGCCTATGATTTGCAAAAGTAGGATTGTTGATCATATTTTTGAATGTACCCTTTTTTTGATGGAGTCGGATTATTTAAGGCAATGGGGTCAAGTGTCAACTGCTCGAATGTATTATGCGACAAAATGGTATGCTGCTGCTGTGTTTACCACTGAATGGTACAACCTTATCCTACATGATCAAGTAAAGAACCGAAGCTCCATCATCACACGAAAACTGAGGGCAAAACTAGATCATTATTTGCCTAATATGTGAAAGATTTGAATTCCAATCTTTGTTGAGTAATGTCAGCTAATTGCATTGTTTGCTTGAGTTGCTAAATTATGTTTGCTAGCCTGGTGTCAAGTAAATATCTGAAATAGCAGACATTAATCTAGCTGAAGTTATTGATAACACTTTCATCTTGTCTTATATCTTTTAACTCAGGGAAGTGGATTACCATTTGTTAGGATTAGTGTGGAGATAGATAAATACATGGAGACATAAGGAGATTGCATAGAAGCTGCCTTATTGTTAAGGTTCGACCAAACTTGTGAAAAGTTCGGTCGAACCCGGTTTTAAGTCAGTAGCTGAACAGAGTTCGGTCGAACCTCCCTGCTCCCTATTTCGTCGCTTCGTTTTCGGCTTGTGCGATTTGCTTTAATCTTAGCCGTTGGATTGTATTTTCTACCTAGACTATATATACCTTTTCTAAGCCTCTTTGTTGATTATTCACAAACATTTAAACACATAGAGAGGTTTTGAGAGGGTTTGTGAGGAGCATTTGAATTCTATACAATTCATGCTTGTAATTCTTGAGTTCATTCATCATCAATATTACTCCATAGTGCAAGGGTGGGTTTTTTCTCCCGGTTCTCGGGTTTTCCCACAGTAACATTGTCTTCCTTTTACTTGCTTTAATTCCTTCAAAGTTGTTCTTGATTGTTATGCTTGTTTGTTCATTGCTATTGTGGGTTGATTGCAAGTTAGTTGAACACTTTAATCCTTACACCATTAACTTCCATCTTATGTTAATATATAATACCCTTTACTGCATGAGTCCTATACTCTTTGTGCTACCCTGCCGACTGCCGTGCCCAACTTTGTCAAATACCTCTTTTTTACAATAGGAAGAGAAGCTCTAGTTTCCTTAGTTTTGCTCTATGTTGCCAACCTCATTCTCAAATCCATTACAAAAAATCAATGTGAAAAATAAACTTAAGTGCAAAAAAAAAAAAAAAAAAAAAGTGTTAAGAAAATTATTTTACACCCTTTCCGGTAAGATTGATTTAGCTTTTGATTTTTTATTACATTAATTTCTTATACGAAGTATTTCGTAACTTTTAAATTTTATGAAGAATTACTTCTTACACACCTAATTATTTGTGTGTTTAAGTTAGCGTGTATCACAATCCACACCCTTGACGTGTTCCTGTAATATAAAGAAAATGTTGATTTACTTACGAAAATGTCATATTGACTGATATGTTTCTATTTACAGAAATGTCACCAAATAAACAATTTTTGTTCATCACGATGATTAACTGGGGCTCCCTCTTATTTCCACCTATCTATTTACGGAATTCACTTGCATCGTCTAAATATTTTGTTGCACCCACTCTTATCTTTTTTTTTTTGGCAATTTTATACAATAATTGAGATTAACAAAAAAAATATGGAGGTACTAGCATATTACACAATGTAAAACAACAATTACTCATACTGCATAAACAAAAAAAAAAGAAAAAATCGCTCAATAATTACTCTCTTGGTCTCTTATTTGTTTTGCCTCAATTTTCTTTTTAGGCCGTCATTTTAATTTCGACCCATTTTATTTTTGAACATATAGGATTACACTTTTACTCTCACAATCACCCCTTTAACCCACTACTTTTCTCTCTCATCATTTTTTCCAATTAAAAGTTAATAAAGTAACATTTGTCTATGGGGTAAAAAATAAGAAACGAAGAAATACCTTGTAGTTTAAAGTTTAAACCAAGTTTACTAGCTGAGTATGAATTGGGTATTAGCGTAGTACACAATGACACATTGTAGAACAATACTACGGGGTGCACACAAAAAATAACTATGGAGTAGACGTTATAAATATAATCAATGGCGGCAAACATATGCAGTGTACCCCGTGCCACAACTGCTAAGCTGTAGTGACGTTTCATCTCTCTCCCCATCATTTCCATTATCATCAATAATCGCACTTGAAAATAAACCCATTTTTTGAAAATCCCACTTAAAAATAAATCAAAATGACTACCAAAATTCCTTCATTTTAACACCCACAACATAAATCATCATCATTCTTGAACTGGGTTTGTTTCATTCTTTGTAATTTCAACTTTTTCATGTCTGTTATTGATCATTTTCTTGAACACAACTTGATTTTTTAGGCTATAAAATCTAATATTTACTTGAATTTGGTTCTTGATGATTTGACGCAGGGGAAGAAAGAGAATTATGGATTTGGAATCCGGAAAGATTGAAAAAATTGTAAGAGATCAAATGCTCTCTTCAAGAAAAGTTAGAAGTAAGAAATGTAAGCTACATAATCTTATAGGAAAAATATTTGGTCCATTTTCATTTATAAACATCTCTCAAGGAAGAGAAGAAGTTGATGATGATGGGCATAACACTAGAAATCTGGTTGAAGTGGCAGTTTTGATGAATATTGTGCAACGTTTGCACAAAGGTAAACCGCCCTTTTAAACGTATTAGGAGTGGATTGTTTCCTTTATGTGTGTATTTGACTGTTCTCTGAGTAGTGTAAATTGTGATTAGTTATTATTGATAGTGGGTTGCATACTTGCATGTCAAGTCTCAACCAACAAATGTTATGTGAATGTGTTTGATGAGTCCGAACCCTAACCGGGCTTCTCGATATTTAAGGACCGTGCAGCTTGGTTACGGGTAAGGGTGATTCGTGGTTTTGTTGTTGTTCACTCCGTTGTTCTGAGTTGGGTATTCTTGTTTGACATGGGTACGTGTCCAAGTGTGCTATTTTGTGAAAATTTTCTATGATTTTGGCTTTGGCCTAAACACATATATATTAATATATCCTATTTATGTTTAAGTGTTGAGAATCTAACATGGGCACTTGAGGTAAATGAAGAATCCAAGTAACATAGGTTGTTGGCTATATCTGTTATTCCTTGTCAACTTTTTTGTACATAAGTTAGGTTTGGTATGGGTTGCTCAAATTCTTAATGTGGCTCTTACATCTGCTCAAAACATGTACATAGATGTTAAGATTAGAGATTGGTCTATTATAAAGCTTTTTTCCAATATGATGATTTCCATGATACCTGAAGTTTTTGCTGTTGTACACAGAATGGCAGTGCTACAGCCAAAAGATTTCTGTGTGTATAGTATCTCAAGGTGTAGCACAAGTTAAGGATATTGAGAGAAGAATTGGGAAAAGATATGAAAAGCTTTTAAACTTTGAGTTGAAGGTGAAATTAGTTGAAGGATTCCAGGAAGGTGGCGAAGCAGATATTGTTATAGTATCTACTGTAAGATCCAATTCTGCTGGATCTTCTGAGTTCCGCTTAGATCATGGAATGGCTGATGTTGCTTCGAGTAGGGCCAGGTATGACTTAGGATGATGTCTCTGGACTAATTATAGTTTCTGTTGGCTTTTTTTTAATCAAGTAAACCTGCTCTTCCTCTTTTTAAACAATTGTAGGCATTGCCTCTGGATACTGGGGAACAAGGAAACCCTTGCTGAAGCAGATACTTTCTGGAAAGATATTATTTCTGATGCCAAACTGCACAGCTGTTACTTTAATGCTGAAGAAGACGAGAATTTAGCTAAAGTCATTGTAGATGTTAAAAGCAAGTTGGATGAACTTGAAGACTTGCTTGATAAGGATAATAATATTTTCAAAGCTTCAGGGTGGAAGGTATACCTTTGCTCTATCCTTCCAGAAATATGCATATTCTGTTGAATTTTGTGATAATATTGCAACATTAAACTGAGTTTTCACAATCCTTTAATTTGTAGGTTGTCTTCAGTGAGAATTTTGTCAAATCTTTTGCCAAGCTGCCCTCAATCTACTCTAAGAAGCTTGTGGTGAATTTTATTTTGAAGTTAGCTAATGGCTGGCGGCCAAAAAATAAGAACACTGATCTGGTCTGTGAAAGTGCTGTTAGAATTGTAAAACAATTTGAGGTTGAGGGTCGGTATATCATTTGCACAAATGATATAATCAGGTTACAGGGATATGCTACTCAAATCTTGAAGGTCTGGGATATCTTGCATTTGGAAGATGTACCAGCATTAGTCAGTAAACTTGACATAATATATGGAGCATTTACTGATGAATTCCTTGCATGCTGCAAAGAAAAATGTCTCCAGGGGTATATTCTCTTTATATAATTTGTATATCATTCTATTTACAAGTTAAATTCAGTGAGCGATCAGTCTCCAAAGATGTACTGAAGTGCTTAGACGACACAACTGCACCATAAGAATTAATATGCTGCTGCATTGAGCTTAAAAGAAACTACCTTTGTTTATCTGTACCTTTGTATGTGCGTCTAGAAAATGTTGACAAAAGATGAAAAGAAGCACCAGATGTGGCTTTCCATCTTTTCCTAATGTTCTCTATGTTTGTTTATGTAGGAAGTTGGAACTCCCAAGAAACTTTACTTCATTTGATGTTGCACGGTTCAAAGTTGTTAATAACGCAAAATCAACAAGTTCTTTGGATGCTGATAGTGTTGGAACAAGCTTTTTTGAGAATGCAAAAGTCAAGGAGAGTTTGCTGCTTATGAAATTCTATCCATTTTCTGAGGGTGTCTTGAGTCACTTGATGTCTGCGTATGATGGGTTGCTTTTGAATGTCCCTTTGAGGTATCAGACCAAGAAAGAGAGGCAATTTTCAATGGCAAAAGCACCTTCATTTTAGGACGATCTGGCACAGGTAAAACAACAGTGTTGGTGATGAAGTTGTTTCAAAAGGAACAACAACATCACATAGTTTCAGAAGGAAATCTACATGACGCCTTGATGAGTGAGTTTTCAACCAATGCTCCTGGTAGAATGGGAGCGCCCCTTCGCCAACTTTTTGTGACCGTAAATCCAAAACTTTGTTTTGCCGTCAAACACCACATCAAAAATCTTAAGAGGTCTGTGAACCTTTTCATTATCTTTTTCCCCTGCAATATATAATATACTTCATATGCTAATGAGCTACCATGCTGGTGTATGTGCAAATGAGCTTACCTTGCTGGTGTACTCTAGTATGGACCGTATTGATAAAATGTTACAGCACTTATTAATTGCCTGTGGAGAAAATCTTCTATAAGAAAATGCACTTTTCATTCTCCTTTTTTAGAAAATCTTCTATAAGAAAATGCACTTTTCATTCTCGTTTTTTAAAAGTTGGCTTGTGTTCCTAGCATTATTGATTTATCTTATGGTTGTTACAGCTTTGTTAACGGAGAAAACTTTGGTGAGGGATGTGTCTTCAATGATGTGATTGAAATGGATGAATATGAGAAGTTCAAGGACATCCCAGAGTCTTTTCAAGATATTCCTTTAAATGCCTTTCCACTTGTGATAACATTTAATATGTTTTTGCTGATGCTTGATAGAAGCTTTGGTTTGTCATATTTTGATAGATTTACGGATATTAGGAAAATCTGTTATATGGAAACTGCAAGTTTCAGACTGGTTGTTCAGGCAGTAAGAAGGAAAGAGGTTACATTTGAGAAATTTAGATCATCTTATTGGCCTCATTTCAACTCCCAGCTCACAAGAAAGCTTGATCCTTTAAGAGTTTTCACCGAGATTAATTCCTGTATAAAAGGTAGGCTACATTATGGGGAGGGTGATAACAACAATCTGAGTTTGCAGAGTTATATGCAATTATCTAAGGCCCGAGTATCAAAATTCAGTGAGGATGAAAGAGAGGTAATATATAAGGTATTTGGGGACTATGAGAAAAAGAAGGTTGTACGAGGAGAATTTGATTTGGCTGATCTAGTGAATGATCTGCTTTGTCGTTTTAAGTGTGAAAATTATGAAGGTGAGCTCATGGATTTTGTTTATATTGATGAAGTCCAGGATCTAACCATGAAGCAACTTGCCCTCTTCAAGTACATATGCAGTAATGTGGAGGAAGGCTTTGTATTTGCAGGTGACACTGCGCAGACTATTGCTAGAGGCATTGATTTTAGATTTGAGGATATAAGAAAGCTTTTCTACGAGGAGTTTCTCAATAATATGGAAGTTGTTGGAGATGAGCAAAAGAAGATTAAAGGGCTAATATCTCCTACCTTTCAACTAAGCCAAAATTTTCGGACTCATGCTGGAGTTTTAAATTTAGCTCAGAGTGTTATTGACCTTATCTGGCATTTTTTTCCCAATTCTATTGATCCCCTTAAACCGGAAACTAGTCTCTTATGTGGGGAACTTCCAATACTACTGGATTGTGAAAATTGCGAAGATGCCCTCATAAAGATTTTTCAAGACAAAGCAAGTCAAGGTGACAACAGCAATAGCATTAGCTTTGGATCCGAACAGGTGATAATGGTCAGAGATGATCATGCGAGAGACAAAGTAGGCAAATTTGTTGGCAGACAGGCCCTTGTG